AATATACGTTTAACATGACAGCAAATGTACAACGTATATTAAAGTTTTTCTTCATTACCCATTTAAGCCGTCTCCAGCCATTATTACCCACCCCTTTTGATTACACAAGTGTAGGCCTAAGGCTAATGCTAGACATGACCAATCAAGTCTAGGAAATACAGAAGGCCTAGTCTCCATGAGAAAAGCACGAAGTTTCACGATTTATACAGAACATAATGATAGCTGCAAACAAAATTTTATGAAAGTTTTGATCAGTACGAAACAGAATAAGAATAAATAAAATAAGGCTAGCTTTGCCTCTCTCCAGGTAAATACAAACTATGAGTATGAATGACAGTACGTATGAGTGATATGTGTACATGTGCAGTGCTCAGGCATCGTGTACATATCACAGTGAGAGTTCTGATGCAAGTCTAGTCTTACTACAGGTTGTACTTTACTGTAATTGTTTGACAGGCCAAGCTGGTTAGAATGGAAACATTGAACGTTGTTGACCAAGATTGCTGTTCTGCTTAAAAGTTTTACAGGTCATTGACTGTTTGTTTCCTTATGATACTATGGCTTTTTTTCCAATGTAATGAAACTTCCTGGGAAATAAGGCATCAAAAATTAGTTGAATAAAGATGCAAAATTGTCTACTAAACATTAATGGTACTTTTTTGGAAATAAGGTCTAAAAACATCAATTTTTATAATTGGGTCTTCTTTAGGGTCTTTATATATCAATATTGTCTTAATTGGATCTTCTTTTAAGATTCTGCATATTTATTTATTTTTTTGGACAATCATTACATCCTTCTGAACATCCTCTAATACAGGTCCGAAGGACAATCTGGATGTTTCCTTAAAATCGAGCCCTGAATAACAACCATGGATGTTGGGTATAAAATCACTCGCTGGTCTTTTACATTCTCAATCAAAATATAAACCAACTTGCATAGAACTTGGTTCAAGCTTTCAAAAAATATCTAGTTTCTGCATACAAATAGCATATTTTGATTAAACATTTGTATAATTTCTGTAGATTATGAAAATATTTTGTGAAACCTTTAGAAAATACATCTTAAACTTTTGGTTATTTTATTATTCATCAGAAAGTTCTGTTTTCTTTTTTTGGTCAGTTTTAGCTTCTGGGATATGTACTTGTTTTTGCCAAATGAAGCAGTTTACATCCTGCTGTTAATCATATAAACAGTATATGGCTGACAAACATTTATTGTTGAATAAAATCTTCCCTTTCAAAATGGGACTTTTATAAAATTTTTATTACATTTTTTGAGATCCACTTAAATGAATTTTTCTTAAGATGAACTTGAATAGTAAAGTTTCTTGAGATTTTGGTTTAAATTGCTATTTATTTTTTCTAGTTTGTTGCTGATGGTGTCTTTAAAGCAGAGTTGAATGAGTTTTTGACACTACCCTCAGTGAAGTTGAAACGCTTCTGAACAACAGAGGTTAGCTCACGAATCCTACGCCCCTTTTCCCCTAACACACTTTGTGTTCTCGTAGCCAAGATGATGATCTCTGTGCGAGTTGGCGTGACCCGCACCTCCACACCACTGTAACCATCTTCAGCAAGCTCACGACGAGAGGTAAATAGTATGAAAAATATGTAAAAAAGTTATTCAATTACATAATCATAGGGTTATAATTCTAAACAATTTTGGTATGTTATGGTAACAAGACAAATTTTGGTGTTGTGTTATTTGTAACATTTTTTTAAGATCAATTGATATTACTATTCTGTATAGTGCATATTCATTTTGGCATATATCAAGGAGTGTTTAGGAAAGTACTCCCTATTTTTGATATAGGAATGCTGTATTTTATCCTGTTTCGAAGGGATTTCAGTAGTAACATGTTTTTTGTAGTCGAGAAATGATGTAAACTTGTACTTGTAACAGCAGCACTAAGATTTTCTTCTAGTATGTTTTCAGGAAGCTAAAAATCCATATAAAGAAGTCTGATAAATATTGAATTTTAGTAAATGCTTTTCAAGGAATAGACTTAATATTAAATTATTTTGAAAATTTTTGATAAGATGAAAATTTGAAGTTACATGCTGACAGGAAAACTAAAATAGTAAAATTCAACCTGGTGTCAGTTATGACTATGTGTAATTTCATACATTCTTATTTATAAAGATTAAATTCATTGTTTTACGACTTTTGTACTCTTGCTGTTAACAATATTTCTGACCCAGTAATGACTTATGAGGTTCGACCAGCTTAAGAGACTTAGGTTATTCTTACGTACATGTACTGAGCTCGTAATGCAAAATGATCTTTATCATAAAAATATAATAATAAAGAAAAAATTTAAAAGTAATAAAACTGTATACATTAAATATTCTAACCACAACTGTTAATGAAAGTAGCTACAAAGAAAAAAAAAAGTGTATCTTATGTACAAAACATGAAAGACACTAGTGGGATTTTGATAAAGTAATAATATATACGCTTACAGTTTTGTAAGCTGTCTGTGTTGGTAGTTATGTCTTGTATGATATAACATTTGTTGAAAACTTCATTTATTCCACCAACTTACACTGCTGTAGCAACAGTACAAAAAAAATATATATTTATAAATTATTCTTTATTTACTGTTGTACTAAAACTTAATGATATGGAAATATTGAACCTTTAACTATTTCTTGTGGACATTGTGCATTACTCACTTTTTGTTGTATTGAAATGAGTAAAAAGCTGTTAGTATACAATGTTGTTATTTGTGTGTAACTGTTTTTTGTGAAGTTTAGAATTAGATTTATTATAAATTTATTTTGCCTTTTCATAATATTCTTGGATTATCACAGATTTTTTTGATATATTCAATTTTTATTAGAAAAATTTTAAGTTTTATTCTAGTCATTAGAGACTAGTAGGTTGCATCAAATATACATCTTGTTTTTGGTTTATATTGATTGTAGAAATGTTAGTTTCTAAGTAGTTACATCTGTCTATATTGGAAGTTATACACCATACCATTCACTAAAATTGAAGTTATACCTTAGGGTTTTACTCGTATAATGCACATAACTTTGTAACTAAGTTCTATATTTTTCATCAACTGGAAAGTTTTTGAATAAATATTTGTTAGAATGAACTCCATCTAAAGCCTGCTTTATACATTCTGTATTTATGGGTTTTAAAGCCATCTCTGTGACTGAAGTATTGATGTTAACTCAAAAATTAAACAATGCAAGATAATTATTACATTTTGGTTTTAATTTTTTCACTTCACTTAATGAAAAGTTTAAAAACCGCTACTGATATGAACGGTAACTTGTGATAGGTTGTTTATGTGAAAGTATTTTCTTGGATATGTTAATATGAACAATGATATACAAGATAAATGAAGTTCAAATAAGTTATTTAGGATGTGTGAGTTTGGTATTTTTATTCTATAATCGTATCAAATTACTAGCAATCAAAAGTTTAGTGAATGTTTAAAAAATCCTGAAATCAGTCTTGTATGGTCCCTGTATTTTTTGAAATCTTATGGAAAGCAAAAATAGTTTAAATCTATTTAATTGTATATTGATGAAGATCAGAATATAAAGCTATTTAATTCTTTCTTTAAGACTATTTTCTGATAGTACTTATTAGATAAGTGGTAGACCTTGTCTGGTAATTTGTTTAGCTAGTTAAAATTAAACTCACTTTTACAGCTAGTTATTTAAGTTTGAAATAAGTGAAAATAATATTAAAATTTATTGTATTTCTTCTGTATTTAAAAGAAAAAATGGTTTTTGAAGCAAGACAAGGACTCTAATTTTTCTGAAGGTAATTCTTTACCAAACAAGTATATATTGTATAAAAAATGTCATCAAGATCTTAAAAAACTTGCTGTGATGAATATAGACATTTTAATTTTTTACTGAGAAGTATGTTATATTCTGTTTGAAATTTTTTATTTCTTAAATGAAACAAACCATAAAAATTAATTATAAAACTCGTAATATTTTACTTTTGAATGAAGAAATTCAAATTCTTTACTGTAGTTATATGCTGAGAAAGTGGCTGCTCGAGGACTCTGTGCTATTGCTCAGTGTGAATCCTTGCGTTACAAACTAATTGGTGGACTGGCTGTGAGAAGGTAATGTCACATTTTGAAATGTTCAACATAAAAAAGAAAAATATAATTTACCTGACTTTTTAAAATAACTATTAACCCTTTTCTCGACGGGCTCAGTATAAAATACATGAGTTTGTATACACATTTGCACATGTTAAGTATTTATACTATAACTTTTAATGCAGTATGTGTATTTTCACAAGATTTGGTAGAGTTTTAGTAATAATTACAAGTATTGTACACACAAAATATGATTTTATAATGAAGTATTTTTACTAAAGATTTGTTTGTGATAAAATCGAGTCTTTCGTTACTAGTCTGAGTGCGAAGTGATTTTCATGTCATGATTAAAATACTATTCTTTGTCCCAAAAATCTCAAATATTATTTGTGTAATTTCTAAGATTCTTAAATACATTTCAAACATTTGTTTTCAGTAAAACTTTATATTTTCTCTACCCTAACTATATGGGGTCTGTCAATTTGACTGACTTTGTAACCGCCATAAAAAAATTAGGAAATAAATATAAATTATGCTTTTTTCGTTCTAGAATGACTACAGATTATAATACAAAAACAAATGTTTAGTCAAAATAGCTCAAATGTCATAACATTAAACATTTATATATATTTAATATTTTTATTTTATTCACCTTCCAGTTGTGCCTGGCTAACATTACAGAAGTTGCAATGATGTGCTGCACATGCACGCATGTTACTGTATCCAATAATATAGTTTTATACCTGGCCTCTACAAAGTGACCTGTCTTGGCTGTGTTTTAGTAGACTAGTATTTTGTAAACTACAGTAACATTTCAATTATTATACATTATGTATGTATATAGATTGTTGCTATTTTGAAATAAGTTCTTAAAATTATTTTTCCTAAAATATGGAACAGTAAATAGAGAAGTAAAGAAAACAATTATCTCTTCTAGTTATGACCTTTGTTCTCGGTTGCTGCTTGATGTAGGTTGCTAAGCTTTTTAAAATTTCACTCGTGTGGAGGATATGAAACGAAAAATTTGTTTAGGTTTTATATATACAGTTGAGTAACCAAAAAATCATAAATTACTATATTCGTACCATAGAATTTCACTATAATTTATCAAACTTAGTAATTAAGTTGTATTTCTGTCTAAAAAAATATGAAATTTCGAGCAGACTAAAAACACAACCTACCTCCTTGAAATCTTGGTTCGAAAAAATGAGATGGCATCCTAACAATTTAAAATGGCTGAGAAAGCCACTAGAGGGACATTTTAAGCTTTCGATTGGTTATTCACATGTCATATATAGAAGTAAGTGTACATAAGGGAGCATTTCCAGAAATAGAAAGAGGTGGGCGGGGGAGCCACTGTTTGATTCAGTACATGAGCAATATCTCGGCAAATAGAAAGGATAGGAGGCTCTTATTTTATATTCTAGCATGTTAATATTGGGAATTTGAGTTCCTAATTCATACAAAACTATAGACTTACTATTTTGACATCACAAACATCTAATTTGAACCATTGCTGCATTCAACATACCACGTGTCACACAAAAATTAATGTTTAGGTGTGTGTTTTTTAAATATTTACTCTTAAAATAATAAATCAAATAATGTGTAATACTAAAATTTTAATTATAATCTACAGTTTGGTACCAAACTTATTGACATAATGACATGACCTTTGACCCATGGTTAATGGGTTAGTTTGAAATGCAGAATTTTGGATTACAATATATATGTATAGATAGAGTGCTTTTGTACTAGGTTTTTAAATATTATAGCATGCATCTGCCAGGATGGGTATAGAGTTGAATATTTTGGTCTCTGTGCCGCAACTTTCACCAGATGTTGACCAGCCAGTCTATAATGACTTAGATAAAGCATATTTTAGTTTTAATTCTACTATCCATCTGATCTGTATGGATTTAGCAGTTTTGCATTATGTTAAAGTAATAGATGAACTCCTTACTTCATTGATTAAGCACTAACAACTTGAGACTGGTATTTAGAAATACAAACGAGCACAATTTTATCTTTAAGCATACACTAATGTTACTTTCTGTTTGGTCTCGCAAGTTCTATATGCTGGAGCCTGCCTTCACTAGTTCATGCATATTTATATGTCAATCGTTAATCAGAACACTCGCTCGTATGCTGGTACATAACTATAGTGTTTTGTGGTTTTACATAAATTAGTTAAATATATAGATAATGTAATTAATTTTTCAGCTGACATGTGTTGAGAAGTAGTTATTTTCAAATGTTTACAGTAATATAGATAATTAAGTATTTTGGATTCATTATGAACACATTACTGGTAAACATAGTTGCAAATATTTCATAAATTATTCTATAAAAATTTTTTTATCAATTGATTGTTACAGATGAAATGAAGTATATTTAATATATATTTAGGTTTTTATTATGAAGAATTGTCAGAGGTTATTTAGCATGGAATTAGTAATGACAAGTTTGTAAACAGTAAAAGGCATCCTTAAAGTAATAGTCTCACCAGTTTAGTAAATTCTAGATCACAGACTTGTGATTTCCTTTTTACAATACTTTTTTTAACTGGTCTATTGGCGTTCCGTTTTGTGTAAACTACAGGAAAATTCAGAATGATTCTTTAAAGAAATGACAAAACTCATTTTCTGTTTTTCAATTGAATCAGTCAGTACCTCAGAGTCTTATGAGGAAAAGTGATTGAAAAACAAAGGATTATATAAAGATGATTTAAATCTCTTTCTGTGTGCTCAGTTTTAGTTAAACTATTTTACACCACCTCAAATATTGATGAATTCTTTGAAAGAAATAGTAGTTTAAAGTTAAGACAATATTGAGAAATTTTTACAGTGGTATTTTTAATGCAGTCTTTTGATTTGACTACAGAGCCTGTTATGGTGTACTCCGTTTCATCATGGAGAGTGAAGCAAGAGGATGTGAGGTTGTAGTGTCTGGAAAACTTCGTGGTCAGCGAGCCAAGTCTATGAAGTTTGTTGATGGCCTCATGATTCATAGTGGAGAACCAACCAATGACTATGTTGAAACAGCAGTTCGTCATGTTTTGCTAAGACAAGGTAAATTGTTCTATGCTCAGAAACTTGAAACTGAAATTTCAGAAAATAAAGAAATAAGGTTGACAATTCTTGGATTTAGCAACAAAAATGAAATTTGAGTTGTACTTCTCTAAATTCAACACTTATTGTGATGTGTGAAACTTTGCAATGATTTTAGGTTGTAATTCTCATGATTTAACTCTTTTTTTCATGGGCTTGGTCTTTCTGACCAACCTTGTAACCATTTTGTGCTTGTTATAGTTTTCATGCTA